TTTGATAATTAATATTTTCATTATCATTCAGGTCAAAGTATTTTAAATTTTCCATTAGGATTTCTTTGTTAACCCATGGGTTGTTGCTGTCATTAGTTGCTGTCAAGTTGGTTCCGACTCAGAGACCCTACCTAAAGTAGAATCAAACAACTGCCATGGTCCTACGCCATCCTCACAATCTTTGCTGTGTTTGAGCCCATTGTCCATGTTGTTGAGGGTTTTCTTCTTTTTCACTGACCTTCTACTTTACCAATCATGATATCCTTGTCCGGAATTGGTCCCTCCTGATACAAAGTACTATCCTTGCTTTTAAGGAACATTCTGGCAGTACTTCTTCCAAGACACATTTGTTCATTATTCTGGCAGATTACTTAGAATTAAAATTTCAAATATATGGAGACTTTCTAGCTGTCTTTTTGTTTTTGATGTCTAACTTCATTGTGTTATGGGCTTAATGCATATTCAATGATTTTAATCCTTTGACTTCATTAAGACTAACTTTAAGGCCTAGAATATAGTTAATATTTGTATATGCTCCCTGTGTTCTTATAAAAATGTTTTTTTTTTCACTTGGTGCGTCCATTGTTCTTTTATATATGACAAAGTTAAGTTTGTCGGTGTGTTCAAATCTTCTGTATTCTTCTCTATAGAAGATACTGAGAAAGGTGTGTTTACTGTGATTTTAGATTTGTCTGATTTTCCTTGAATACCATTAATTTTTACTTTATTTTTGAGCTTATGTTATTAAGAGAAAACAAATTTAGAAGTATTGCATCATTTTTCTTTTTAAATTTTACATCATTATGAAATGTTCCCCGTTACCTCTAATCACGCATTTTGCCTCTCTGATATTTGAATACCAGATAGCTTGCGTATGGTTAGTTTTTGCCTAGGATACATATTTTTCATATTTTTACTTCATTCTTTCTCTAACTTCATATTTAAGGTGTGTCTCATAAGCAACATGTAATTGACCTACGTGTTTGTTCTTTTAGTCTGAGAGTTTTCGTCTTTGAATGGGAATATTTAGTTTGCTTACGTTTAATATTATTACTGATCTGTTTGGGCCTAGCTTAAACAAAAAAACCAAACTCACTGCCGTTGAGTCGATTCATCTCGTAGCGACCTTTCCTTGGTTTTCTGAGGCGGTATCACTACAAAGGTAGGTTGCCCAATCTTCTTTCCGAGGAGTGGTTGATTGGTGGGTTTGAACCGCCAACCTTCTGGTTAGCAGCCAAATTTTTTAGGCACCTATGTCACCTATTTGATTTTTATTTGTCCTGTTTTATATTCTTGTTTTTTTCTCTCTCTCTCTTTTTTTTTTTTTTGCCTTCCTTTGTTTTATTTTTATTCTTCAATTTTTTCTCCATATTAGAGAAACTATAGTAATTATGTGCATGCTCTCAATTATTTTAATGGTTACCATAAGAGTACTACATACATCTTTGACTTATTAAAGGCTAACATAAATTTCTAATTTTACCTCTTTCTGGGCAATGCAAAGATCTTAGAATATTTTAGAACCAGTTATTTTATTTTTATATGTATTTTCTATATGTATTTCAAGCCCTGTAAGACATGATTATTGTTTTTAAAGTCAATATTTATTTAGATATACCTACAGATTTATCCTTTTCCTTGATATTTATACCCACCTTCCATGTGGGCTCATCTTCCTTCTGTCTTTACTTCACATTTATTCTTTATGTGGGTTTAAAAGTCTTAGGTTGGCAGCTACTTTCTTCCTGTGCCTTAAAGCTAACATTCCATTCAACTGGCTTCTATTGTTCATGAGAAGTTTTCTGTGTAGTTCCCCCATTGGACTTTTCTGTCAGCTCCTGTTTTTCTTTGTGTTGTGTTATGACTCTTTACCTTCTCCTCTGTGCATTATTTTTAATTTGACACTGAACAGTATATGAAGAATGTAAGAACTAATTTGAATCTAGTATGAGAATGTCTTCTTATAAATAGTATTTTATTTGCTTCTAGCTTATACTTATATATACTAGCAATCCTGGATTACTTTAATTAAATACTGAGGTGATTTTAAATTAGCTTTTCAGTCTGAAACTGTTTTTGAGCCCTGTGATACGTGATCTACTTGCAGTTCACATTAACTCCAAAAGTGCCAGCCCTTCAGTGCTCTAACCCAAAGTATGGTGTGTTCAAAGTTCCCTTCTTGGTAGGCTTCCCAGTTTTCTACCTAACTCTGCAAAACTGTCAAGAGCTCTGTTCAGTTCCTCAGCTGCCTCATTCAGAATTGGTAGAGCTATTGAAGGAAAGCTGCCACAATTTCTGGGCTTTACTTTTCTAGTTTTCTTTCTCTCCTGGATATTGACCCTTTGTTAGCACATTAATTGCCTGTCAAGCACATTAAAAGAAAAAAAAAAACTGGCATGGTCACATGTGGTAGTTAGTTTGTATGTCATCTTGGCTGGGCCTGGATGAGTGGCTGGGCAGCTGGTGGTAGTTATTCCCCATGATGAGACTGGCAATCAACTCCATGGTGGGATCTACCACAAGCAGCTCAGTAGCTGC